AAAGAGGAAGTCTATCCAAGAAAAATTAATACATAGGTGAATTAATAAAGAAAAATATTTTGCCACCCATACATCAACCCATTGGCAAAAGTAACCAAACTATAAGGGAAAATCATGGAAAGGTGATATACCTGCAAGTGAATATAGACAACCTTGCAAAGAATCTTAGAAGGTAAATTGTAGATGGGCATTTCCACATTATCATCCTGGTTCATGTATGCTTCAACCTATACCAAGAATGAAAGATATTTGACAAAAGGTGGCCAACATTAAAACAACTAAGATCTATTTAAAAAACATGTAATGTGACACACCAGAGAGATATAACAATTGAACAGGGTAGAGTCCAGATTATTTTTCATTTTCAGAAAGACTTCACCTAACTGTAATTCCTGTTTTTCAGTGCTTGATAAAGACAAAATTCAATAATTACATCCCCAGCCGACATTTAAATTACATGCCATGATCATTTTAATTTTACACTATGAATAAGTAAACCTAATATGTAATTTTCTTTGATAAATACAAGAAGTTACAGTACAACTTGAAGTCATCTCATTCATTTTTGGAAGGACTTCAACCATCCATTGTTCCTTTTATTCAACAATACAAGACAAAATTCAATAACTACATCTCCATCCGATATTTAATTTATAGATTGTATTTTTTTATTGTCGTACTCTGAATGAACGATAATAAAAAAAAATTGTCAATATTGAACATGTAATCTGCATAAAAACATTATTCACTTTTGGAATGAGTCCAAGTAATGATTCCTTTTTAAAAGTAGAGATGATGCTTTTTGTCAATTTGCTAAATGAACAACAATAACATGAATGTATCAGTGAATCAGGTACAGAGGAAAACAAAACCTGTTCAAGGTGACCCTGAGGAAAGTAGTAAACCTTATCCCCAGCATGAGGAACATTAACCAGGGGACCAGCGCATGCAAGCCATAGTTGAGTATATATATCATTTTGCCAACCTTAGGGACAAAACACAATTCATATTAGTAGCAAAACAAGAAGGGGAGAACAATCATGCCTCCGTCTGTATGTAAAACAGGAAGGGGGGGTAGAGACAGAGAGAGAGGTGGAGGAGATCATAGCAGGGATTCGGGAGTGGGAGTTAGCTAGCAATCGACGTGTATGATTAAATTCTAAAATGATTGTGAGAAAGAACTGCACAGCTATTTGGCCATGGCTTGGTTGAAATGCAGAGGCTAAAAGGGAAACATCCAACAACAATCAAAAAAAAAAAAACCTATAGAAGGGTTTTTGTAGCTTTTTGTAAGAGTTAAATATGAAGGTTCAAGCATTGAAAAATACAGATATCAAAAATCTTACGGATCAATGAAAATTTCAATTTGAACTTCGTAATAATTGAACAGTCAAAAATCCCAGTAGGGCAAATTGGACTTGATGAGTGTAAGATGAAAAGAAAACTATTGACGCAGCGGTGACCGAAGAGATTACCGTCTCCAAGTGTAAAGGACAAAAACCCTCTGAATCCATCTCAAGACTGATATGTAACACCCAAAACCCGACAGTTACGGAGGAAAGCTCTCTGAAAATCTCCTCAAGGAAACTTAGCCGAGAAAAAACAAAGAAATTAAAGTGAAAATTCAATGAAAAAATGAAGAAATAGGAATATACATGACATATTTAGATAAAACCCCAGGAAGATGATGGTCTTTTAAAGCATTCATGTCCGACTCAAGATTAATAATTACAAGACCAGTCATGATCGTTACAGGAAAAACCTTTCTGAAAATCTCAGATATGGAAGTTAATTGAAGAAAACTAAGGATTAACAACAAAACTATACAAAACAAAGATGCAACAGGAACATGCATCAGATTTTTCGAATGAAAGAGCAAAAAATATATATATGGATAGAATATCTGGGAAAAAAATAAAAATTAATAAACAACTGAGAGGAAACAACAGGACCTATGCCCAACCATCCCATCCATTAAATCTAACATTTCCTTTGACAAAAAAAAATATAAATTATTGGCCTATGAAGTCCCTTGTACCTCCATGCATAGGATAGAACACCGCCTTCGTATTTCAGACAAAAGAATAGAAAGAAAATAAGCAAAAACTGTTGGAATGATTTAAACCTTTAGCTTTGCTTTCAATGGGGTGAGGATCGTCAGTACTGCATCTGAGTTTCTCAGCCCCAACCATGGGTAGGCTCGAGGACCCTTCACCTTTGCTCCAAGAAACCATCTCTCTCTCTCTCTCTCTCTCTCAGGGAAGATGGGCTTAAATGCAGTCGGGTACGACGGGCGAGTTGGGGTTGAAGAATATACCCCACAATAAAAGAATGGAGGGGACAAAAAAGCTTTGTGAGATCAGGTGTCTGACAACAGAACCAGAGGTGATCAATGTGGTACTGCACAACTACGTTCACTCACCAGTCGCCACCACCTTCATATGCACTACCTATACCTCGGTGTTCCCCACTACCCTACGCCTATAGTACACTACTCTTTCTCTCTCTTATTGGGTGCGTACTTTAACGCTTGTGGGACAATGACAGAGTCTGTGTGGTGTGGGGGTGATGGGCATAGGGGGTGGGGATGTGTAGTGTATATAGAGGTAGAGAGGGGGACTGAATGGTTACATCTGCAGGGCGGCTTGGCAGAGACGGAGCAGTCGCTGTGGTGCCTCTTCGACACCGTACACTCCTCCTGGACACGAGTCCACAAAAACCAGACCCTCTCTCTCTCTCTCTCTCTCTCTCTCTCCCTCTCCCTCTCCCTCTCCCTCTGGTGTTTCTATAGCTCGCTGGCGGTATTTGCTACATTGAGCCGATATCTTCTATGCACATCCCGCTACATCCTAATATTTATTTCAGGAAAATTTACAATTTCACCCCTAAAATTTACGATATCTTCTGTGGTGAAAGGTGTATATTTGTTCTTGATAAATTTTCTCTCACTTGCTAGAAAAAAATTATTTTATTTTCATCTATTTATGAGATAAATAAGATATCAAACCAGAAATAAAGTTACGGAGTGAGCAGGGACGGAGCTAAGATACTCAAAAATTATTTTATTTTCATCCATTCTTTATTTAAATTCTTACTTAAATTTAAATTTGAGTAAAAATAAATTAAAAACAAATTCCAATCTTTGACTTAAGTTTATATCAAATAAAGAGAGACTCAAACTTTTACTTAAATTAAGATAAAATCAAACTTTTATTCAAATCTTCAATAGTCAGATTTTACTCTTTTAATAGATTCAATGACCATATATTTTACCATCTATTATATTTGAGTTTGTCCATTTGAGTATTTTGTATCAAATCAAAATTTTTACTCATTTTTTTATTTAAATTTGAATTTGAGTTTGAGTTTTGATCAACATTGAAGATACCTTTTAAGTGGGTCTAATTGAAAGCTACCGATAAATTTCTGTTTAATATGGGTCATTTATTAAGATGGTTAATGCCAAATTTTTAGATGCATAAAGCATAATAAAATCAATGTCACACCATATATTATTATTTTTAATAAAATTGATAAAAGTAATTGAATCTTGTTGAATTAATTATATGTAAAAAAAATTAATTCGTCAAGTAATCAATAATATCATATCAATTTCATCACATAATCTCTAAAGCATAGCTAAATCTCGAATGCGAAAAGGGGGAAGGAGAAAGTGAAACTCTCTCAAATAAATAATTTATATAATTTTGAATCCTATATGTAATGTTAGAATGTATTTCATATCTTATTTCGGTAACTATGACACAAATTTTACTTTGCCTTTAGACTATTAAGTGAAATACATTGAACCATTAACTATTCAAAAGAGTCTAAAATCTATGAATTTGCACAAACATCTAAAATTAATGATTTATGCAGGGTGTCCCAATTGGAATGAATAATGGTCCAATGTGATCAAATCAATAGTCAAGAATAATATTTTAAAGAGCACATAAAATACAATCAAAAGCACTATTCTAGAGGTATAACTGCATAATTTGCCAAACTTGGGGAGGGCCATGGTCTCCTTGTGCCATAACTTGGCTCCACCATGGTAGTCAGAATAGGATAGAAACCCAAAGACACGAAAATATTGACATATTTACGCTAAAAAAGATGATTATTTTTTAATGGATAAATATATTTTTATACCTCAAATGATAGCTTAAGTGCTAACAATAACAAATTATAAATTCAGACGTTTTAAGTTTAAATATTAACAATTTTTTTAGACCAGATCATGAGATTTATATATCATGAATACTTAGTCCTAACATAGATGTTGGGGTGCTTTTGACCAAATCGAATAAGAGATTTGGCGAAGTGCACGTATATTAGTTTGAACATCCCTATCTATGTTGGAAATAATTAATGGAATTAGATGAGGGGTGAATAATAATTTAGTTAAAACTTTGAGGATTAGATTGCCCTAGTTGGATGTTTAGGGTTACTAGAAATTGAGTTTATATTTTAAGGGTATAAATTGGAAATTGCCTTCTATTACCTTACGCCTCGCCGATTCTCACAATTTCATTTTGCCCCTTGCCTGGCTTTCTCCGCCCCCTTTATTATGTGTTCCAAATTTGATTTTCACAGACCCAAAAAAAAAAAAAATAATTTAATTTTCTGATGAGAGGAAAAGTAACGTGCTACGCCCCCCCACATGTGGTCATGTGGATCCCACCACCAACCATGTAAACTGACATGAAGACAAATTGTCGGAGGGAAATACTAATAGAGTTGTGTTATAAATTTAAAAGTTTTAAATTTAAAAATTAATTAAAATATGCGTAAACTAACCTGACAATCCTAAATACATGTCCACCACTAATTGTTTCGTTAATAATTGCATTAAATAAATGAGAAATGTTGTTTATATTTAAAAAATTTATATATTCTAACTTAATGAATCACAATAATTGAATAGATAATAAATCTTAATAAATATTGAGATTTATAATTAAATTAATAATACTAATTGATCAAGTCAATTTTTTAAATCATGCAAATTCAAATAGAACCTAAAAAATTACAACTCAATTGCAGAGTAAATATTGAATACACGGTGATACTATGTCATCATTGATGATATGGTATCACCAACTAATAATAAAACTCTAAATGAGTAAGATAAACTCAACTTGAACTTACATGGAAGAAGAGTTAGAAATTATTTGCTTCCCTGACATGTTAGTTATTAATTTTTTTGGAGTCCATTTGTTTATTTGTTTTAATATTATTGGTTGATGATACTACATCACATTGTCATGTGTTATCACNTATCCAAGAAAAATTAATACATAGGTGAATTAATAAAGAAAAATATTTTGCCACCCATACATCAACCCATTGGCAAAAGTAACCAAACTATAAGGGAAAATCATGGAAAGGTGATATACCTGCAAGTGAATATAGACAACCTTGCAAAGAATCTTAGAAGGTAAATTGTAGATGGGCATTTCCACATTATCATCCTGGTTCATGTATGCTTCAACCTATACCAAGAATGAAAGATATTTGACAAAAGGTGGCCAACATTAAAACAACTAAGATCTATTTAAAAAACATGTAATGTGACACACCAGAGAGATATAACAATTGAACAGGGTAGAGTCCAGATTATTTTTCATTTTCAGAAAGACTTCACCTAACTGTAATTCCTGTTTTTCAGTGCTTGATAAAGACAAAATTCAATAATTACATCCCCAGCCGACATTTAAATTACATGCCATGATCATTTTAATTTTACACTATGAATAAGTAAACCTAATATGTAATTTTCTTTGATAAATACAAGAAGTTACAGTACAACTTGAAGTCATCTCATTCATTTTTGGAAGGACTTCAACCATCCATTGTTCCTTTTATTCAACAATACAAGACAAAATTCAATAACTACATCTCCATCCGATATTTAATTTATAGATTGTATTTTTTTATTGTCGTACTCTGAATGAACGATAATAAAAAAAAATTGTCAATATTGAACATGTAATCTGCATAAAAACATTATTCACTTTTGGAATGAGTCCAAGTAATGATTCCTTTTTAAAAGTAGAGATGATGCTTTTTGTCAATTTGCTAAATGAACAACAATAACATGAATGTATCAGTGAATCAGGTACAGAGGAAAACAAAACCTGTTCAAGGTGACCCTGAGGAAAGTAGTAAACCTTATCCCCAGCATGAGGAACATTAACCAGGGGACCAGCGCATGCAAGCCATAGTTGAGTATATATATCATTTTGCCAACCTTAGGGACAAAACACAATTCATATTAGTAGCAAAACAAGAAGGGGAGAACAATCATGCCTCCGTCTGTATGTAAAACAGGAAGGGGGGGTAGAGACAGAGAGAGAGGTGGAGGAGATCATAGCAGGGATTCGGGAGTGGGAGTTAGCTAGCAATCGACGTGTATGATTAAATTCTAAAATGATTGTGAGAAAGAACTGCACAGCTATTTGGCCATGGCTTGGTTGAAATGCAGAGGCTAAAAGGGAAACATCCAACAACAATCAAAAAAAAAAAAACCTATAGAAGGGTTTTTGTAGCTTTTTGTAAGAGTTAAATATGAAGGTTCAAGCATTGAAAAATACAGATATCAAAAATCTTACGGATCAATGAAAATTTCAATTTGAACTTCGTAATAATTGAACAGTCAAAAATCCCAGTAGGGCAAATTGGACTTGATGAGTGTAAGATGAAAAGAAAACTATTGACGCAGCGGTGACCGAAGAGATTACCGTCTCCAAGTGTAAAGGACAAAAACCCTCTGAATCCATCTCAAGACTGATATGTAACACCCAAAACCCGACAGTTACGGAGGAAAGCTCTCTGAAAATCTCCTCAAGGAAACTTAGCCGAGAAAAAACAAAGAAATTAAAGTGAAAATTCAATGAAAAAATGAAGAAATAGGAATATACATGACATATTTAGATAAAACCCCAGGAAGATGATGGTCTTTTAAAGCATTCATGGCCGACTCAAGATTAATAATTACAAGACCAGTCATGATCGTTACAGGAAAAACCTTTCTGAAAATCTCAGATATGGAAGTTAATTGAAGAAAACTAAGGATTAACAACAAAACTATACAAAACAAAGATGCAACAGGAACATGCATCAGATTTTTCGAATGAAAGAGCAAAAAATATATATATATGGATAGAATATCTGGGAAAAAAATAAAAATTAATAAACAACTGAGAGGAAACAACAGGACCTATGCCCAACCATCCCATCCATTAAATCTAACATTTCCTTTGACAAAAAAAAAATATAAATTATTGGCCTATGAAGTCCCTTGTACCTCCATGCATAGGATAGAACACCGCCTTCATNACCTATGCCCAACCATCCCATCCATTAAATCTAACATTTCCTTTGACAAAAAAAAATATAAATTATTGGCCTATGAAGTCCCTTGTACCTCCATGCATAGGATAGAACACCGCCTTCGTATTTCAGACAAAAGAATAGAAAGAAAATAAGCAAAAACTGTTGGAATGATTTAAACCTTTAGCTTTGCTTTCAATGGGGTGAGGATCGTCAGTACTGCATCTGGGTTTCTCAGCCCCAACCATGGGTAGGCTCGAGGACCCTTCACCTTTGCTCCAAGAAACCATCTCTCTCTCTCTCTCTCTCAGGGGANGAGGATCGTCAGTACTGCATCTGAGTTTCTCAGCCCCAACCATGGGTAGGCTCGAGGACCCTTCACCTTTGCTCCAAGAAACCATCTCTCTCTCTCTCTCTCTCTCTCAGGGAAGATGGGCTTAAATGCAGTCGGGTACGACGGGCGAGTTGGGGTTGAAGAATATACCCCACAATAAAAGAATGGAGGGGACAAAAAAGCTTTGTGAGATCAGGTGTCTGACAACAGAACCAGAGGTGATCAATGTGGTACTGCACAACTACGTTCACTCACCAGTCGCCACCACCTTCATATGCACTACCTATACCTCGGTGTTCCCCACTACCCTACGCCTATAGTACACTACTCTTTCTCTCTCTTATTGGGTGCGTACTTTAACGCTTGTGGGACAATGACAGAGTCTGTGTGGTGTGGGGGTGATGGGCATAGGGGGTAGGGATGTGTAGTGTATATAGAGGTAGAGAGGGGGACTGAATGGGTACATCTGCAGGGCGGCTTGGCAGAGACGGAGCAGTCGCTGTGGTGCCTCTTCGACACCGTACACTCCTCCTGGACACGAGTCCACAAAAACCAGACCCTCTCTCTCTCTCTCTCTCTCTCTCTCTCCCTCTCCCTCTCCCTCTCTCTCCGGTGTTTCTATAGCTCGCTGGCGGTATTTGCTACATTGAGCCGATATCTTCTATGCACATCCCGCTTCATCCTAATATTTATTTCAGGAAAATTTACAATTTCACCCCTAAAATTTACGATATCTTCTGTGGTGAAAGGTGTATATTTGTTCTTGATAAATTTTCTCTCACTTGCTAGAAAAAAATTATTTTATTTTCATCTATTTATGAGATAAATAAGATATCAAACCAGAAATAAAGTTACGGAGTGAGCAGGGACGGAGCTAAGATACTCAAAAATTATTTTATTTTCATCCATTCTTTATTTAAATTCTTACTTAAATTTAAATTTGAGTAAAAATAAATTAAAAACAAATTCCAATCTTTGACTTAAGTTTATATCAAATAAAGAGAGACTCAAACTTTTACTTAAATTAAGATAAAATCAAACTTTTATTCAAATCTTCAATAGTCAGATTTTACTCTTTTAATAGATTCAATGACCATATATTTTACCATCTATTATATTTGAGTTTGTCCATTTGAGTGTTTTGTATCAAATCAAAATTTTTACTCATTTTTTTATTTAAATTTGAATTTGAGTTTGAGTTTTGATCAACATTGAAGATACCTTTTAAGTGGGTCTAATTGAAAGCTACCGATAAATTTCTGTTTAATATGGGTCATTTATTAAGATGGTTAATGCCAAATTTTTAGATGCATAAAGCATAATAAAATCAATGTCACACCATATATTATTATTTTTAATAAAATTGATAAAAGTAATTGAATCTTGTTGAATTAATTATATGTAAAAAAAATTAATTCGTCAAGTAATCAATAATATCATATCAATTTCATCACATAATCTCTAAAGCATAGCTAAATCTCGAATGCGAAAAGGGGGAAGGAGAAAGTGAAACTCTCTCAAATAAATAATTTATATAATTTTGAATCCTATATGTAATGTTAGAATGTATTTCATATCTTATTTCGGTAACTATGACACAAATTTTACTTTGCCTTTAGACTATTAAGTGAAATACATTGAACCATTAACTATTCAAAAGAGTCTAAAATCTATGAATTTGCACAAACACCTAAAATTAATGATTTATGCAGGGTGTCCCAATTGGAATGAATAATGGTCCAATGTGATCAAATCAATAGTCAAGAATAATATTTTAAAGAGCACATAAAATACAATCAAAAGCACTATTCTAGAGGTATAATTGCATAATTTGCAAAACTTGAGGAGGGCCATGGTCTCCTTGTGCCATAACTTGGCTCCACCATGGTAGTCAGAATAGGATAGAAACCCAAAGACACGAAAATATTGACATATTTACGCTAAAAAAGATGATTATTTTTTAATGGATAAATATATTTTTATACCTCAAATGATAGCTTAAGTGCTAACAATAACAAATTATAAATTCAGACGTTTTAAGTTTAAATATTAACAATTTTTTTAGACCAGATCATGAGATTTATATATCATGAATACTTAGTCCTAACATAGATGTTGGGGTGCTTTTGACCAAATCGAATAAGAGATTTGGCGAAGTGCACGTATATTAGTTTGAACATCCCTATCTATGTTGGAAATAATTAATGGAATTAGATGAGGGGTGAATAATAATTTAGTTAAAACTTTGAGGATTAGATTGCCCTAGTTGGATGTTTAGGGTTACTAGAAATTGAGTTTATATTTTAAGGGTATAAATTGGAAATTGCCTTCTATTACCTTACGCCTCGCCGATTCTCACAATTTCATTTTGCCCCTTGCCTGGCTTTCTCCGCCCCCTTTATTATGTGTTCCAAATTTGATTTTCACAGACCCAAAAAAAAAAAAAATAATTTAATTTTCTGATGAGAGGAAAAGTAACGTGCTACGCCCCCCCACATGTGGTCATGTGGATCCCACCACCAACCATGTAAACTGACATGAAGACAAATTGTCGGAGGGAAATACTAAAAGAGATGTGTTATAAATTTAAAAGTTATAAATTTAAAATTTAATAATTTTTTAAAGTTAAATCATAAGAAATTTATTTTTTATAAATATTTTAATATCAACGTGAATGATCTATATTTTTAATTGTACAAGAAAAAAAATTAATTGAAATGTGCGTAAACTAACCTGACAATCCTAAATACATGTCCACCACTAATTGTTTCGTTAATAATTGCATTAAATAAATGAGAAATGTTGTTTATATTTAAAAAAAATGATATATTCTAACTTAATGAATCACAATAATTGAATAGATAATAAATCTTAATAAATATTGAGATTTATAATTAAATTAATAATACTAATTGATCAAGTCAATTTTTTAAATCATGCAAATTCAAATAGAACCTACAAAATTATAACTCAATTGCAGAGTAAATATTGAATACACGGTGATACTATGTCACCATTGATGATATGGTATCACCAACTAATAATAAAACTCTAAATGAGTAAGATAAACTCAACTTGAACTTACATGGAAGAAGAGTTAGAAGTTATTTGCTTACCTGACATGTTAGTTATTAATTTTTTTGGAGTCCATTTGTTTATTTGTTTTAATATTATTGATTGATGATACTACATCACATTGTCATGTGTTATTACCGTTGTAACAAATATTTTCTCTTAAATGCATATTATTCTTTGTATGAATGGTCCCATAAACTTTTTAGTGGAATCCATACAACACTCATCTAACAGATTGAGTAAGTATTGAATAGAACGGTGATATTATGCCACTATTGATGACACGGTAATACCAACTAATAATAAAACTCCAAGTGGATAAAGTGAATCTCACTTGGACTTACATGGAAGAAGAGTGAATAGTTATTTGTTTACATTACAAGTTAGTTATTAATTTTTTTAGAGTCTATTTACTTATTTATTTTAATATTATTGGTAGGTAATATCACGTTACATTGTTACGTGGTATCACCATTGTAATGCATATTTTCTCCAATATATTACAATTTTTAAGTTGCAGTAGCATTTTCCTCACCCTTAATCTACAAAGTGGGTCTCCTTCCTAAGCACTCGGCTAATAACTTGAAAGCAATTACCATCGATTAAAACATGCCGACAGATTCGGTGTTGATACCATTAAACAGGCATCCCTAAAGATTTAAAATTAGAATTAGTTAAAAAAATCATTTATATATTTCAGCCCATTTACTCAAAGGTACTTGGGTTTAAATGACTCTTCATATTATACTTCCAAATTATTATAATTATGGAAAATAATGGTACCTTAAAACTCGTGGTGTAAGTAATATGGTAAAGTGATTATTGTGCCACGGGTTGACCAAAGCTTGATAAAATTGGGAAATAATTATCGTCGATCCTTACTTAGATATAAAATATAGTGTGTTAATAAAGTATGTAAATAAAAACGTATAAGATTAGACGATGTAATGACAAAGTCGGGGATAAATTGGGTGAACATAGATTTAAAAAACGATACATCAATGTGGCTATGAAACATTTATGATAAATGTGGCTCATATATGACTACACATGGTGCAGTGTCCTTCAAATTGATTGAGTGATGTTATCTTTAAGTTTAACCATTTAACTTGGCATCTTTTACATTAAATATAACCATCATATCATCAAAATATAAAATTTTTACCTTTTAACTGTTGCCCAAACTAACCAACCACTCGGTATATTGTAATGTCATGTGATTTTTGATGAATATTATTATAGTACGTGAATAATTACTAAAAAATAACATTTTTTTAATGATTAAATTATATACTTTTACTTTTAAGAGGTAATTTAATTTTTTAAAATGTGTAGTTTTCATGGTAGATCATAATATTTTATTATGGAGTATAAACTTTAAAGTTGTAACTTATACCCTTTAGAGGATAGAGGTGGAGACGAGATTCACACGAGCAGTCGAGAGCAAGGCTATCGAGCAAATCTATAGATGGAGAGAGGTGGAGAGCAGAATTTGTCAAGCAAATCTAAAAGATGATGGAGATTGGGCCAAAGTTTTAATTTGGTTGAGCCTGATTTCATTATTTTGGATTGAGTTTGAGTTGAACTAGTGAATTCGAAGTCTCAATTTGGATACTACCCGAATTCAATTCGATTGAGATTTTTTGGACCAGACTCAATTCAAATTTTAAAAACCTCAACACAAGATCTGATTTTTTCGATTGCGTTGGGGTTTGCGCTCAGGGTGGCCGCTCCAGTTGCACCGTTATTAAAAATCAATCATTTGATTCAAAATTATGTTTCAATCTCCACAACTTAATTAGATTTCAATGTTCCTGACCGAAAAATATTAAATAGATCTCAATGTGAAAAAAAATTCAACTTAACTTTAATTCAATTTTA